CTAATTTCATGAATGCTGGGGACCGGCAGAGACAGTGGGGACTGGGAGAGGCAGTGGGGACTGGGAGAGGCAGTGGGGACTGGGAGAGACGGTGGGGCTGGGAGAGGCAGTGGGGCTGGGAGAGACGGTGGGAGCTGGGAGAGACGGTGGGGGCTGGGAGAGACATTGGGGACTGGGAGAGGCAGTGGGGACTGGGAGAGGCAGTGGGGACTGGGAGATGCAGTGGGGGTTGGGAAAGACAGTGGGGACTGGGATAGGCTGTGGGGACTGGGAGAGACGGTGGGGGCTGGGAGAGGCAGTGGGGCTGGGAGAGACGGTGGGAGCTGGGAGAGACGGTGGGGGCTGGGAGAGACATTGGGGACTGGGAGAGGCAGTGGGGACTGGGAGAGGCAGTGGGGACTGGGAGAGACAGTGGGGGTTGGGAGAGACAGTGGGGGTTGGGAGAGACAGTGGGGGAGCCCATCTGAGAGTCGCATAGCCCATCTGAGAGCCGCATAGCCCATCTGAGAGCCTGCACAGGCCATCAAGCCACCTGGAGTCATCAGGGCGCCAACCCAGAACAACACAAAATATATAACTTCATATTACTTTGCATTGCTGTATAATATATTGCTGTAGTCCTTACTCCCTATCCTGGCTGCCTCTCCTTACTCTCTCCTCTATATTCTCCCCCCAAAAAAAATTGCCACACGTGACGCTAGAGTGTTCGGGTTTCACTTGAAGAAAAGGTGGCAACCCTAATACCGCAGTGCTGTACATAGATCACTGAGCCAGTCACATCGGTCATACATCCTAAATATAGAACCATTTATCCAACTGTCCATCCAGAGCCGCCATTTATAGACCGGATACATCCTAAATATAGAGCCATTTATCCAATTGTCCATCCAGAGCCACCATTTATAGACCGGATACATCCTAAATATAGAACCATTTATCCAACTGTCCATCCAGGGCCGCCATTTATAGACCGGATACATCCTAAATATAGAGCCATTTATCCAACCGTCCATCCAGAGACGCCATTTATAGACCGGATGCATCCTAAATATAGAGCCATTTATCCAACTGTCCATCCAGAGCCGCCATTTATAGACCGGATGCATCCTAAATATAGAGCCATTTATCCAACTGTCCATCCAGAACCACCATTTATAGACCAGATACATCCTAAATATAGAGCCATTTATCCAACTGTCCGTCCAGAACCACCATTTATAGACCAGATACATCCTAAATATAGAGCCATTTATCCAACTGTCCGTCCAGAACCACCATTTATAGACCAGATACATCCTAAATATAGAGCCATTTATCCAACTGTCCGTCCAGAACCACCATTTATAGACCAGATACATCCTAAATATAGAGCCATTTATCCAACTGTCCATCCAGAGCCGCCATTTATAGACCGGATACATCCTAAATATAGAGCCATTTATCAAACCGTCCATCCAGAGTCGCCATTTATAGACTAGATACATCCTAAATATAGAGCAATTTAGCCAACTGTCCATCCAGAGCCACCATTTATAGACGCAATACATCCTAAATATAGAGCCATTTATCCCACTGTCCGTCCAGAGCCGCCATTTATAGACCGGATACATCCTAAATATAGAACCACTTATCCAACTGCCCATCCAGAGCCGCCATTTATAGACCGGATACATCCTAGATATAGAGCCATTTATCCAACCGTCCATCCAGAGACGCCATTTATAGACCGGATACATCCTAAATATAGAGCCATTTATCCAACTGTCCATCCAGAGCTGCCATTTATAGACCGTATACATCCTAAATATAGAGCCGTTTTATCCAACAATATCTGTAAAAAGGAAGTCAAGACAACTGGACTTGCTGTATTTCTCTTAAAGACGGTTGTCAGCCAACCAGCTTTCTCAATTCAGAACGACTTGTACAAAAAAATCTCTGGGAATAAATATGGTAAATTTTGCTCCAATCCATATAATCTGTTAGTCACAACCAGGTGTTGATGCATTTGTATAATTGGAGTCTAGGAGGTGTAATTAACCTGCCCAGAGAGAGGTGTTATACAGCATTGTATGTGGCAGACAATAGATGTGTCACCCCCCACACCCCCCTCCCTCTATTCAAGCTTGGCTTCTCCATTTTTACATAAATGGCCTCTTTCACACCTCTTTTGAACCAGTCCTCTTCACTGTCTAGGATGTGTACTTTACTGTCTTCAGAGGAGTGATCTTTTTCCTTTAGATGTAGGTACACTGCTGAATACTGACCAGAGGGATTGGCTCTTCTATGCTGTGCCATACGCTGGTGTAGCTGCTGTTTTGTTTCACCGACATACAATTCTGAGCACTCCTGACTGCACTGCACTGCATACATAATGTTGTTCATCTTGTGTTTTGGCATTGGGTCTTTTGGGTGAACCAGTTGTCGCCTCAGTGTATTGCTGAGTTTAAAGCAGACAGGGATGTGATGTTTTTTAAAAACCCTCCTGAGTTTCTCAGACACCCCAGCTACATATGGGATGAACAAATTCTTCCATTTGTCATGCTTTTCACCCTCTGGTACTCTTGACATTCTTTCCTCTTCTTTCTGTTTTGACAAAAGCCCAGTCTGGATACCCACAAGTTTATAGGCGTCCCCCCCAACCGCCCGAGGTGTTTGAATTCCTTCGTCTTGGCCTCTGTTCTGGAGGGGATTTTCTCTGCCCGGTGGTGTAGAGTCCTGATGACTCCCAGTTTGTGGTCTAGAGGGTGGTGGGAGTCAAATAGCAGGTACTGGTCTGTGTGTGTTGGTTTTCGGTAGACTTCTATTTACAGCCTCCTTCCCTCTTCTACTGTTACTAAACAATCCAAAAACGCCAGTTTGTTGTTTTGTATATCTTCCCGCGTAAACTTGATATTATGATACACTGAGTTGATATGGTCAGTTAAAGCCGGGAACTCTTGTTTGTAAATCTTAACCCAAGTGTCATCCACATATCTGAACCAATGACTGGGTGTAATTCCCTTGTAGGTGGTCAGGGCCTTGCTTTCTACTTCCTCCATGTACAGGTTCGCCACAATAGGTGAAACTGGTGATCCAATGGCACAGCCATGTTTCTGCCTGTAGAACTTGTCCTTGTACTTGAAATAGGTGGTACTCAGGCAAAGGTCCAATAAGGCACACACGTGATCTGGGTTAAGTTCTGTTCTACTGCTTAGGGTGTTGTCTAGTAGCAACTGTTTTCTCACTGTTCCAGTTGCCTCTGTGGTGGGTATGCAGGTGAAGAGGGATGTGACATCAAAGGATACCATTGTTTCTTCTCTGCCCAATATTAAGTTCTTGATTTTGGTTGTGAAATCCTGAGAGTCCTGTATGTGGTGTTGTGTATTTCCAACCAAAGGGGAAAGGACTCTGGCTCAGTATTTTGCCACATTATAACTCACAGAGTTTATGCTGCTGACAATTGGCCTGAGAGGGGTGCCATCTTTATGTATCTTTGGAAGTCCATATATACACGGAGGGGCTTCACCAGGGTAGAGGCGATGATACATAGCCCGACCAATGGCTTTGTCCTTTTCCAGCTGTTGTAGTAGATCTATAGCTGTCAGGGTACTGTGCACTGGTGTCCTCACACCGCATGCAGTTACCCACACGAGAGGACCAAATACGTAACCACATCAGAAACTGCCACCGAGCTTATATACGTTTATTATACACACAAAAACATAACAGAAATAACCCCACCAACGCCCACAAGTAACTAACTAAATGAAAAAACAAGTACATACAAAAGGTACAAGGCAAGTAAACCCAGGGACAGGTCTCAGGATATGGCAACAATACTGAGCCACAGTCCTGACTGCAGTCACAGGAAGCACCAGGTGGTGGATAATCGCTGGCAGCTGGGAGACACCCGTAGGCGAGCACTGGAGTTGCAGGTTCCAGCACCACCCAGTGGTGGTCTGGTACATGACAGCTCCTGGCTGCCTGGAAACACCTGCAGGTGAGCACAGGAACCACAGGAGTTCTTATCATTCAGAAGTGCAGTGACCTTATCGTCACCTTATCATCGTAGTCAAAAGTATTGAGTACAACTCTGCATCTTCCTTTATCAGCAGGCAGGATGGTGATGCTCCTGCCTTTCTTCCGGGATGTAACCGCCCTCCTTCCTTCTGTAGTCAGGTTTGACGGAGGTGGTTTGGTACTGGCCAGGGCTGCAGACACTTTTAGGCGACAGCATTGGCGTCCAGTGGTTATCCGAATGAATGGATCTATGCTGTCACTGTTGGGCAAATCATTTCACCTGAGAGAGCCGGCATAAGTGCAGAATGCCGAGAGCGCTCTTGGAGCCAATCTCACTCTTCATAATGCCCTTCATCTTGTGGTGCATGAATACTGCGGGATAGTGTCCAAAATTGAAGAAGTGTCCTATAAGGTCTCATATTCTGAGCGATTCGGGATTTGTCTAATGAAAGTCTTTTTTCAAACATGTGACTCTTGAACACCTAATCCTTGTTATCTTCTCCCTTCAAACAGGATTACAGAATAGTGACTGTATCATTGTGTGTGTCAGGTTCCTATAAGGTGTCACTGTCTATTTCTTCATGGAGGAACACAAGGATCTCTACAAGGACGTCGTGATGGAGAATGAGCCGCCCCTCACATCACCGGGTAAGAGGAGAGAGCAGTACGGAGGGTCCACCTAGATCCCCCATCATCTGATACACACATAGAAACAATGTATTCAGTCAGTGTGTGTGTTTCCTACAGATGGATCCAGTAAGAGGAACCCACCAGAGAGATGTCCCCGTCCTCTGTATTCCCGGGATTCCACACAGGAAGATCTCACCGTCCTTCATGAGGTGAAATAGAGAAATAATAGATAATAGGGGAAACTTTTTGACCACTTCATTATCTATGTTTTTACATCTGATCTCATTGTACTCAATATTCAGGGTATAAACCAGAGTGATTGTGATAATGATGTTAAAGAAGAGATAAAAGAGGAGGAGGAGGTTGGTGTGATGGAAGAGTTTTCAGAAGAACACAAAGATCCCTTCAATGAAGTCATGATGGAGCCATTAGGTGATGCAAACCCACCAGAGAGATGTCCCCATCCTCTGTATTCCCGGGATTCCACACAGGAAGACCTCACCATCCCCCACCATGATCAGGTAGGTGGGACTCGGTGTATAGAACACAGACGTGATAGTGAACTTTGTGAGACAACATTCTTCTATGTAGTCTGTTGATTTAATGTTTACATCTGAAATGTAGCCTCCCACCCATTCCACCCTTTCCATTTCAGCTTCCCCTTGCTCCACCCTCCACTTTTATTATTTTTTTTTAAATGTATAAACAAAATGTTCTTGCGTCTTGGGTCCAGTCATGTGACATCACGGATATGCTTCATCCTTGTGCTCTCCAAAAGGCACATGCTGAAATATGTGCTGCTGTTCTTTGCTTCTGTGAGTCCATGCTTGTGTGATGATGCGCCCTCAAGGTGAGGGTCCTTGGCTCCTGGGCTCAGAGGAAATAGGAAGGAGACCTGCCCTCAAATGGGAAGAGCAGGAGACCTGTTATTTCTCCGCTGTAGGTCAGTAACACGTACAGGTCTTGTCCCTCCCCCAGTCTTTGACTGGACAGTTAACTGAGAAGCAGCAGACTCTTTCTCTCTCTCCCAGTCTAAGCTTTGCTGTACAGAGACTGCAGGAACCTGATACCAGGTCACATTCAGGTATTAGCAATGTTTGCAATTTTTCCTTTGTGTCTTTTATATCTCTCGGAGTTCAGCTTTATGAGATGTTTTCTATTATTTTGGGGTTTAGGGTGAAGAACGGAACAATATAAAAGCTGAGGTTAAAGAGGAAGAAGTGGAGACGTATGTGGGGGGTGACCGGCCGTCCACGGAGGAGGTCGGGGTGATGATGAAAAGTGATCAGGATGACATTTCTCTACCGATCAACACAAGTAAGTAACAGACACTATGGAGGGAACAGGTCACAGTTCTATGTCACTTCTGAGTAGAAGGTGTGACGTTTAAGGGATCATGTTGGAGAATTATCAGATCTTCACATCATCAGATAAGATGAGACTGAATTATAAATGTTGGACCATCAACATTGGGAAGAAGGTTCCCCAGAAGAAGTCATCTCTCCTATTGTAGGATGAAGGGGTCGTCATCTCCTGATTAGTGTTAGGACGGTTGGGGGTCATTTACAGCAAATAAACTCTCATCAAATGTTCTACATACACATGTTGGGTCCATTGTCATGGAGGAATGATGGTTTTGAGATCTTCGTCAATATAGTCTGTGCCAGATTGTGCCTTGACATTTCATGACGTTCTATGGGCACAGCAGAGTTCCCTTACATTGGGTGCATTCTTACAATAAATGTCCCCATCAGAGTGCCCCCTATATTAATAATATAGTATGTAGGGGGGCACTCTGATGGAGGCAGCTAATAATCAGTTGTTTTCATTAGAGTGACCCCTTATATTGGTTGTCCCCTTTAGAGTGCCCCTTTTTATTACAGTCCCCACATAGCTTAGTTTACTACATTAGAAGGCCAGAGACAAGAGCCAGGAGGTGGAGCAGACTGCATGAGAAGACATCAGAAGAAACCCTTTCATTCTCCAGTAATCCTGGGGGTGAGCAATTCAACGTCAGTGGTTGCTTGGACCACCATCAGCTCTAGAAGCAAATAACTGCAGAGGAAGTGGACACCTGACGTCAAAGGTCCATCTCCATTCCTCAATATAACGTAATGTCCCCAACAAATGAGGAGGAGATACTGTACATCATGTAGCGCCAATCATGTGACTACCATGCATTTAGTGATGTGCCAGTGCTGTAGACAGCATGGCTGGATTTGTAGAAGCACGTACATGGTTAATTCCCAGGTGTCTAACCTTGTCTGTACCCCGCTGGGCAGAGTGAGACTCTGTCATATTGGGGGACAGCCAATAGGAGACACTGTAATATGTGTACAGTACAGCAGCCAACCACTGGGCTTGTTTCAGCCAGTGGTGTCTGCTGGGATAGTGTACATATATGGGTGGGAGCTGCCATGTGCTCTCTCTCTTGCCTGGACCAGCCATGGATTAGGGCTGGGTCCTGTTCAGCCTGCCTCCAGGCTAGGCTGGGGGTGGGGATTGGCTGAGCTGCTGAGAGAGAGGTTTCCTTGGAGGCTTCCAACTTGGAGAATGCCTGAAAGATGGAAGAACCAGGACCAGTGCGGGCTCTTGAAGTGCCTTGGATTTATGTGGACTTCAGAGCGGGGTCGCTGTTCTTTCATGGTTTGTGGATGTGTATTCCCTTGAAGATAAGATCTGGTGAGTCTGGAGCTAAGGAGGCATGTGCACCTAGACCCTGTTCATGAAAGGTCTATCTCCATTCCTCAATATAACGTCATGTCCCCAACAAATGAGGAGGAGATACTGTACACCATATGAAGGTCCATCTCCATTCCTCAATATAACGTCATGTGACCAACAAATGAGGAGGAGATA